TATATCTACTACAATAGGTGGTAGACCGATATGTATAGCCATATATCTCATATCTTAATATTGATCATGTAACATTATATTTACTCTATCAATAAAGATCATGAGAAGCGTCTCACCTTAACATCAAAAAAAAAAAGTTCATTGGATTTGGTGACGGCTACTACTTTTACCCACTTCGGATTGATTCTAGCATAATAAGTATATCCCAATCTTTTATCATATTCAAAATCAATTTAATAAAAAATTTTATAGTGAAATTAATTCAATTATTATTGCTTGATACCTTTGATCAACACTGACAATAGCAATAGTTACAGGCCTAGAGGATATCAGTAGAGGAGAAGTTCTTGCTGCCTTTAATTTATTAGTAACAAAATCTACATATTCTTCTTGAACTTTCATTAACTTGAAACTTTTTGCAGTTGGTATAAGAGATGCTTGCTTTATGAATACATCCTCATCTCCCCAAGGCATTATTGTACAAATTTGTGACTTAACAATATATCAAAAGTAAGAATTTGCTTATAAAAAAAGTTTCACAAAATGTGTTAAGTGAATTTTTTTAAAGTATAAATAGTAAGATCCATGTAATTCTAAACCAATCAAAAATTTATTAATGCAATTAACAATAAGAAAGGAAATAAGAAAGTTATAAAAAATATATGCTAATCGTTATATATTTGGACAGAGCTTAAGTATGCATTATAGAGAGGGTATGCACTTATAGTTGTATAGATGAAGATCTCAAACTTGTTGCAAAATTAATAATAATTCTTTCTTTCTTTTTAACCTTAATTCCCTAAATTGTAGTTGTTTGGTTTTATTTAAAGATTTAACTAATGTTTCGATTGCAAATACTATTTCTTTTTTTTTAATAAACTTTTGGTTAATTGTAATTGTGCTTCATCATAAGTAACAGGAATGGATTGGACTAATTAAGCCAAGCTTTTTTTTAATATATTTTATATGTTGAGCTTAGGCTTTATCACTAAAGAATTTTATTTGTATACTTAATTTATTATTTTTGTCTAAACTATCAAAGCTATTATTTAGATTTGGATTTAGAAAACCTGTTTTTCTTAATTGAATTCAAAACTTTTGTAATTTCTCTTCATAGTCTGGATAGCTTTATGGACCTGAATTTTTAAAATCTGTATATCCTATTGTAGTGAACAATTTTTTTTGTAGCTATTAAAATAATATTTATTAGAAAAAAAATATTAAGTGTATTAAATAATAATAATATATTGTGTATTTTTATATTTATTATATTTATTCTTACCTTCATAAATTTTGTACAATTTCTTGCAGCCATTTCCTAATCCTTTTGAGCTGGTATAGATGGAATCAGTATTTTTAATATCTTATTTATCTCTTCAAGTATAGCATCTAATCCCTAATATTGATTTGATCTTTCTGATCATGTTACAACAAAATTACATTCAATAATTTGACAAATCTCAAGATAAAGATGCATTAATTGTTCTTTATCAGCTACTTCAATTGCTTGGTAAATGGAATATCATCTTGCAGACCAGATAGAAGCAAATATTCTATGTGCTATCAATTTAAGTAGAGATTGATTATATCTAACACTGGTATGAAAATTTATAATTGCTTGTAGGTATTAAAAAATCTAAATAAAATCTAATATTAGTAATTAGAATTTAAATTTAAATATTTATTACTAAATACTTGTTCATATTTTAATTTATACAATTCGTTTTTTTGATTTTTAGCCCAATCAAGAAAACCGTTAATAAATGAATTAGAGACTGAAGCAACATATGGCCAAACCAATTCCTTTGTTATTGCATGCCAGTAAATATTGCATATCAAATTTCATGCTTTATAGTAATCAGCACATTTTTTAAAATAATCTAATTGATTTTTAGTTCTATATTCTTGGCATTGTGTGAAATCTTATAAGTCAATGTTTTTGCGATATAAAAAAATCAGTTATATTGATTAGTAATTTAATAATTAATTATTAAATAGGATGGTGAATTTTTTATTATATTGTTACTAATATGGTTTTTTTTTTATTATTATCAATTCAATTCCACAAAAGCTTTTAACATATTTATTTCTTTATGAAATGGACCAGGCAACAAAATAATTCTTGGATATTCAGATTTAAATTTTGTACATAATGGTAAGAAAGTTTATCACAAACTACTACAATCCATTTTCAATTGCCATTATTAATTCCAATAATATTTTGAATATGATTCAAAATTTTGCAAACATTTTCAACAGAATTTGGATTAATTGGTAAAGGATCAGATACAAAAATATCAGATATTTTAATACTGCCTTGAGGTTCAAAATTTTATGCTATAGATTCATATGATTTATCTAATTTATTTTCTTTAGATTGATAGGGTCTAAAAGTTAATGGCTTAATTAAATCTTTTTCTTTCTTATTAAATATGGTTTGCTCTTTTTCTTGTTAAGTTTCAGTAAGTATAGGAAGTTTTGTATAACATTGAGGACATTTACACTTAGAGTTTTCAATGTCTTTTTTACCACAATCATAACATTGTTTTTAATTTTTTGTCTTAGTACTTTGATTAGTTATTAAATTGTCAATAATATTTATTTCTTTATTTTTTTCTGTATATAATTTAGTTATAATAGATGAAAAATAATTATGAAACTAACAATCAAGCAATGCTTGCATTTCTGGAGTAAAGTTGAATAATTCTTCAATTTGAAATATATTAAGATTTTGATATAGCCAAGGGTTTTCAAAATTTTGTATTTAATTAGTAGGATCAAAGTTAAATAAAACAAAATTAGTGACCATATAAAAGATTACTTTATTATATTCACGATCTAAATAATTTTTTTTGACTTTTTTGTTTATTATCAAATGCCATAAATATCAAACTATTTGGAAATAGTTGTGAATAACTTGCTAAAGTTTCTTGCCAACTAATAAATTTGGTAAAACTACCAGTATTTATAATATGGCTATCAATATTAATTATCATTTTAGACTTTGCTTTAGAATATTTTATTGCTGATAGTGTTAAATATATTGAAGATACATATTTTAAATATCTTATTCCATATATATTATCTATTGCTACAGCACATTTAAAAAGTTTTTTTCCTTCATAATGGTCTTTATTTTCATTATACATAAGAGTTTTTATAAATTCTACTATAACTGGATTACATATCATAAGCTATTGAGATGAAGAATAATTTAAAAGATTATCTAAACAAAAGTACTCATGATTATTTATTAATTTAACATCATAATAAAAAACAATTTATTCTTGTTTAGCAATTTTACAATAGCTTTAACACATTCTTGTTGGTTATCGTATTTATTATTTAATTTTTTTAATAAATTATTTTCAAGTAGTAATTATTGATTTAAATGTTCTAATTTATAAATTTTTTTAATAAGATTTTCATATTTGAAATTCAGTAATGAATGTTCAGGTAATAATATTTGAATCGCAAAATCATGACAATTTATTTCATTATTAGACAAAACTTTTTTTTTGGTTTTTTTTATTAGAACATAAAAAACAGAATTACTAACTTTTTCTATTTGCTCAAGAAAAAAATTTTTAATGATTATATTGTTGTAATGTTTTTGACATATAGAGTAATTATTCAAAGAATCAAGTAACAATAATAATTTTGAAAGATATTTAACCAAACTCTTAATTTATTCTCAATCATTGGAGCATTTGCATGTCACCACTTTTGCTTTTCAAGAGTTTCACATATTGCTAACTCACTTTTCAGATAATCCTCAACAAGAAAATTAAATAAACAAGATAAATCTTTGGCTTCTGTTCTTGAAATTGCCATATCTATATACAAATATATATGTATTTTAAGCAAGAATAAAAAAAAAACTATATTATAAACTTTTGTGGATCCTTGTGAATTCTTAAACTACAAGTTTTGAAAAATGTATTTTAACAATTAGTTTTTTTAAAAAATAAGGCAAATTTTTTTTTTTAATATTACGAAGTTTATAGTTTTGTATCGATAAGAATAATTATCTACCAATTAAATTTCAAAATATTATTTGAAATATTCTAGATCTGATTTTTAAATTGGGTAAAATACTAAGCTGTACTATACTATTATATTGCATAATAATATAACACATAATCAAATTTTATTTATTAAATATCACTATTAATAATATATAGTATATAACTAATACTTTATATAAAATTAGCTTTCGAATAATTTAAGTTTTGTTTAACTAGCTTGAATTTGTTTTAGAATTTATTTTACTTAATCGAAATTTTATATAATTTAAAAATAAAAATTTATTTAATCAAAGTTTTATTTAACTTAATTTTTAATATAAAATATTATATACGTAGTTCAAATTTTATTTAATTAAAATTAATATTTTAATAAATTTTTGCATAATTCAAGTATTTTTAAAATTTTATATAACTAAAATTTCATATAAATTTAATTAAAGTTTTTATACAAATTAAAGTTTTTTAATTAAAATTTATAGCTTAAATAAATAAATATAATTTAAACTTATTTATATATTTATTGTGATTGATTATTTTTAATAATTTATCAGAATAAAATAATACAAATTGTAATTAATTAATAACTTGATTATACTAATTTTTAATTATAAAATTTAAAAATATTAATAAATTATTTAATCATCAAAGACATTAATAAACAAAAAATTATAAAAAGATCAAATTATTACTTTGTATATTAATAGTTTACTATATTTATTGCTTTAATTTATTTTTATATGTCTCCAAAAAGTCCAATTTGGTTTTATTTTGAAAAAATAGGAAATATCAATGGGTTTTTTTTATCTCGGGCTAAATGTATATTTTGTAAAAATCATATAAATGATTCTGTTTACATATGTGAAAATCATTTAAAAACATATACAAATATGGGTAATTATTTTTGAAGGTAACAAAAATGCAAGATATAATTTTTTCGGACCCAACTTTTAAACAATACATATATAATATAAATTTTAGGATCATATCAGAAAATTTCTGATCTGCCTTCAAAAATAATTACCCATATTGATGAATCTACTCTTATTTCATATTTTGGTTCTAACTTTAAACAAAAAATTTCAAAAAAATAAAAAGCTTCAATTGATAAAAATTCAAGTCAAATATTTGAACTATCTTTTCAATCAATATCTGAAGAGTATAGAAAATTGAATTGTCATTTGCTGAATAATTTTTTATTGTGATCTTCCTTTATCATTATTTGAATAATTACCTATTCAAAATTGGGTTAAAAAATTACATCCAAATTTTCATTTATCATTATACAAAAAACTTTCAACTGTTTTATTAGATATAGTTTATGAAAATACATGTAATATTATTAATAAAAAAATCAAAAATTCCAATTTTTTATATTTAATTTGTGATAGTTAATAAGTATATATTAAATAATATTTTATTTATATTTTATATTATATCTAAAGTATT